AGACATGTGCCCCCATGTCTATATTAAATAAAATATTTTCAAAGACATAGAGTAATTATAGTAACGAAAAGTATTTTAGCCTGAAAGGAGGCAATAAATAAGGAACAGAAAAACATATGGGACAAATAGAAGTCATATTGAAAATGGCAGGCATAAATTCTAACATTATCAACAATTACATTAAATGTGATTGGACTAAAGACTCCTCTTGAAAAGTACAGACAGTAGGGCTGAATGAAAAAGCAAAAATCCAATAATACGCAGTTTATAACGACCTCTCTAAGATTCAAAGGCACACACAGTTTTGAAGAAGAGGTTGGAAAAAGATATACGATGGAACCAGTGTCTCCAAGAGGGTTGGAATGAATGCCACTTTAACATTCAAACAAAATAATCTTTAAGGAATTTTTACCAGAAACAAGAGATACTTTGAACAATAGTAATAGAGCTAATACATAAGGAAGGTATAACAATTGTGTATCTCTATGCTCCCAAAGTGGAGCCTTAAAATACACAAAGAGACTATGAAAACATTAAAAGAAACAGCTGATCAGCAAGAGTATGTTGAGCTCTTGATGCACCGCACTTAACTGCCAGAACAACTAGGCAGAAAAAGGAAGAGCTAAACAACAAAATTAATCAACATGACTCAACTAATGTTGTGGGACCTTAAAAAAAAAAAAAGAATTTCAAGTTTCCTGTTCACATGGGACATTGTCCAAGGTAGATCATCCACAACCCAGCTCTCCATACATTTAAGAAGATTGCAGTCATACAAAGTTTGCTCTTTCGCCACAACAAAATTAAATTAAGTGTCCACAGCAGTAAGGATTCTGGGAAAACCTCAACTATTTGGAAATTAAATACCACCCCCAAATAACTCTTGAGGCAAAGAAGAACTCTCAGGGGAAATTCAAAACTATACTCTGAATGAGAACAAGAACACAAAGAACGTATCAGAGGTCACGGGGTACAATGAGTAAGCACAAACATGGGTTCCTTTTTGTTTTATCACAGGAGGAAGGTCTGGAATCAATAGCTTTTTCCTTAGGATATGATCATCAGGAGGCAAATAAAAAAATTGTTAGAGCAGAGATCAATGGAATAGCCTTCCCATCTCACAGAGAAAGTCCATAAAACCCAAGGTTGTTCCTTTGAAAGTATCAAACTGTATAAACCCTTGCTAAGCTTGATGAAGAAATAAGACAAGAAACAAACGCTCAAAAATCAGGAATGAGGGCCATTGAGTTGGTGCAGCTAGGTCAAGCCTCTTGTAGCTAATTCTGCTCCCTCCCTGGGGCGCACCCAGTGGGGGGACAGTACATTGTGCTCTTACTTTGTTATTCTTACCACAGTGCCCTCCTCACCAGTAAATAAGTAAATAAAGTAAGTAAATAAATAGACGTATGTAATAAAAACAAAACTAAAACAAATGAAAGCATCCATATTACTACCAACCCCATGGAAATTAAAGATTAAAAATAACTTTTTTTGTTGTTGTTTTGAGACAGGGTCTCACTACATAGACCTGGCTGGCCTCGAACTCACAGAGACCTGCCTGTCTCTGCCTCCCAAGTGCTGGGATTAAAGGCATGTACCACTATGCCCAGCAAGAGCTTTATGCCAATTAATTAGGGAATCTACATTAAAGGAACACACAGGAAACCCCAAGTTACTGAAGTTGACTGAAGAAGAGAAAGAAGCAAATGACTAACACATCTCTAAGAAGGAAAGACACTGGGCACCTGTGTTCAAGGCAGCATTATCATCATTATTATTATTTTAAATGCAAGTATTGATATATTTTTTTGAGATAGGATTTCTCTGTGTAGCTTTGCACCTTCCCTGGAACTCACTCTGTAGCCCAGGCTAGCCTCGAACTCACAGAGATCTGCCTGCTTCTGCCTCCCGAGTGCTGGGATTAAAGGCGTGCGCTACCACAGCCTGTCAAGGCAGCATTATTTACAATTATCATAATGTAGGACAACCCATGTGATCACTGAGGCATAAATAAACACACTGTAATATATATGCTAAGGAACGTTATTTAGCCTTTAAGAGAAAAAAAAACTTTACAGTATTTGCTTAACATGGATGATCTTTTGGCACATTAAACCACTTACAAAGGGCAAATACTGTATGATTCTACTGGTATCAGGTACCTAAGTAAAGCAGTCGACCGATAGCCACCAGAAGTAGAATGGTGATTGCCAAGGCTAGCATGGGGAGAAATGTGGAGGTGGTGTGGTTTAGGGGCAGAAACTTCTGGTTTTGCTGGATGAAGAATATTCTGGAGATCGGTTGTAAGATGGTGTGAATGTACTAAATGCTCCTGAGTTGCACACTCAAAATGGCTGTGATACCACATTTTATGTTATGCAATTTTACTACATTTTTTTTTTTAAGAGAAAGAAAGTCTACTTAGCATATGACTTTTACTCCAGTATACCCCTCAAAAGAAGAGACCCAAGGACAGTCAGGGATTGGATGCTGCTGCTACAAGCCAAGTAACTTTCAAGAGTTGCCACAGACTAGAGGAGGCAGGAAGATCTCCCCAAGAACCCACAAACAGAACATGGCCCTGTTGATGCCTTGAACTTGGATTTCTAGCCTCTGGAATGGTGGGAGAATGAGTTTTGTTTCCTAAGCCCCTGGGTTGTGTTACACTATTATATCAGACCCAGGACACTGATGTGTGTTAGAAATTTCAACCTCCACAAATAACATACCCAAGAATAGAGGTATTCAGAACTTTTATTGTCATGTGGATTGAAAAAGGGACACAAGGGACCCCCAGCCAGAAGCTTGGGTCTCTTCTCTAGTTCCCATTTCGCACCCACTACTTCGGATGGTTTTCTTTTTCCGGCAGGTCCCGCTGGCTTTGTTGTTATTTCTTCACACGTGGAGGCCACGCTGCGTTTTGAGCAGCGCTTTAGGGTCTGGAAACCATCATTGTTTGTGGTTAGGCTTATTTCATGCCCGTACTCTCTGCTTTCTTCGTCCATGAACGTTCTTGTGTTAATCTGGGATCTCTATGGTTTCCATCTCCGGCTGCCTGAAGCACACTGATGGATTCCTGCAGTGAGAGTCTGCCGGGGTGACCAACTGTCTAGGAGTACACACGTGCATGTGTTCACACACACACACACACACACACACACACACACACACACACACATTTTTTTTTTTTTACTTTTTAAAGTTCTGTTTGTTTCTTTTCAAATCTGTTAAGTAAGTTTGACAGGATTTCTCCACCTGCCTGACAGATATTAGCGAATCTGTCGCTGATTTCTTTAGCTATGTCAGCCAGGTAGATACCATGCTCACAGTGTCTCACTCTGCCTCTGTGTCTACCTCTGTCAGAGTCTCTGGTTCTCTTGAATGCTTTTCTGGTGTTGTTGCTAGCCTTGGACTGCTTGTTTGCTCCCTTTATTCTTGGACATTTATTTTTAGGGAGGATTAAGGTCTAGCTAGAGATGCTCTCACCCTAGAAAACTCCAGGATGGCTTCTGCTGGGCATGTGGAGTGGGTACCACTGTAAGCCCTTTTTACCTGGGCATGTGGAGTGGGTACCACTGTAAGCCCTTTTTACGGACTGAAACTCCACAGGGCCAAGGAGAACCCAAGGCTCACAGAGCTGGGGAAGAAAGGATACAGTTAGGTGATTTTTTTGTTCTGATATTGAAAATGTAGCTCTTTGAAACAGCAGAAGGTCACCTACAGGCCTTCCCCTTTGGATGCCTTAGAGCCCTGACTTTCCCTTCACCACACAGCCCTCCAGCAGGATCCCAGGTGAACCCCCTATTCCAGTCATGTCCATGGTTATGCATCTTTACCCCAAATTTGACCCAGGCATCCCTCACAGATCTGAATGTGTGCAGTACCAGTCAGGACTGGAAACTGGAAGCACTGTTGGACCATCTTCGTCTTCCTTGTATTTGAATGCACCCTGTTGGCATGCCACCATCAGAATGTAGTGGAATAGGGGTGCCTACATGCTTCCAAAGCACTGCACATGTGGCTATGAACTAGCAGAAGGAGACCAAGAGAAAGTTTTATTTGGGTTTCTTGCTGAATTCTGGTTAAGAACACAGTTCAAATCCTCCCTTCAGCTTCCATGTTTAAAGCTCTGTGGGTCCCACGAGTGTTAACATGAAAAACTGATGTCTAGGGGGTGCAGGTTGGTGAAGAACACATGCCTTGTCATAAGATGCTATCAAAACAGGTCATGCAATCCCGTCACTACATTCTTTCTCTTTCTCCTCCCTCCCCCTCTCTCTGTGTGTGTCTCTCTCTGCCACACATACTTAGACACGTACTACACACCATACACATAAACACATTCACAAACATACTCAGTCACACTCATACACAAACACACATCCACACATGTATGCACACAGACACATTCATGCCATATACCACATACAATACATGGAAGTACACACTCATACCAAATACCATACATAAAACACACACACACACACACACACACACACACACACACACACACACACACACACACACACACACTGAGCTTATGCAGTTTTTTTGTTTTAAAGATTTTATGTTATTAAAAAAATAACATGTATTTTTATTTTATGTGTATGGGTCTTTTGCCTGCATGTCTGAACACATGCATACAGTTCCTGCAGAGACCAGAAGAGGGCGCTGGATTCCCTAAGTTTCAGATAGTTGTGAGCTGGGTGAGTGTTTGGAATTGAACCAGAGTCCTCTTGGAGAGCAACCAGGGCTCTTAACCACTAAGCCAGCTCTCCAGTTCTCTCCAGTTCCATGCAGTTTTTTAAAATATGTTAACATGTCTATTAGAAATAAATTGTTTTAAGCAAGTGTTCAGCCTAGGCAATAGAAGCTTTCAAAGATATGCAAAGAATCAATGATTTCTCTGGCTTATAAGGGAGAGAGGCAATATTTTTTGAACTATGAGTATATTAACTTTTTGATTGACACATAGTATATGTACATATTCATGAGGATGACATATTTTATATTTAAAGGAACAATGTTTCTCACACATGCAAAGTTAACAAAAATAGAGTATTTCTATTAAAATATTTAAAAATGATTGGGCTTTTAGAATCCAGAGGACCCCAAAGCATAAAATATTGCTAACTTAAGTTATGAAACCCTTTGGCTTGAATGTGTAAAACACCCCACACTTTACTGATTATTAAGCTTAAAGAACTTGTGAACCATTTGAAGATTATTTCCTAAGGATGAAGCCCACACATTTCAAGTTTCCCCTCTGTTTAATACAAGGTGTTTTTGAACGTTCAGTCCATCACACGAGATGATACCTTGTTCTTGCTTGTGTAACACATGTGTCATGCCACATGATTTTAGAATTGTCCCTTCTTTTCCAGTTTCCCTTTCCACGGTTTCAGTTACTTGTGGTCAGCTGAAAATAATAAATGGGAAGCTCTAGAACTAAACAATTCCCAGGCATTAAATTGCACACTGTTGTGAGCAGTAAGACCAGCCTTCCTGCCACCCTGTTCACTCTTGAGCTGAACATGACTCATCCACCCTTTGGTCACATAGCAGCCACTTCAGTTGTCCTGCTGACTGCCACTGCGTCACCGTGCTGATGTTCATCTGACTCTTCGTTTTACATAATCGTGGCTCCAGAGTGCCAGAGTAGTGACGCTGGCAGTTTAATTACAGTATAGCGTTACTATGGTTCTGTTATCATTAGTTATTGTCAATATCTTATAGCATCTAATTAATGGATTTAACTCTATCGTAGGTATGCGTGTATAGGAAACAAACCTGGGAAATGCAGTGCTATTTGTGGTTCCAGGCCTCCATAGGGCTTCTTAAAACTCACCCTCCCCAGATCAGGTGAGCGGAAGGAGGGAATGCCAGGCCACCAGAGCTGTGGCAGGCTGTTTCTTCTCCCCATGTCAGGGTCTTGAAGTCACCTGCGGGGACTGAGTGCACACCCCCGGGGAGTGCCACTCAGCAGCGAGGCCTTCTTTCCTTGGGTGTCTAAGGAGCCAGCCCCACACTGCCTTTTTAGCCACTACACCACCTCTCTCAGTCTCCAGAGGTTTGGGATCCCTGACTGACTCAGCAGCAGCTACGCCCAGTCCTCTTGAGTGGTTCCCCCACAAGAACGTTGATGCACATACCCAGCAGTGGGTACCATAGTGGAGAAGCCAAGTCTCTGTCCAGTGGCAGGGTGATGAAGAGTGGAGTCTGTGCCTCAGTTTCCTCATCTGTTAGAGGGTAATAACAACTGTGCCCATGTTGTAGATCTACTGTGAGGAGTAAATTGGGCCAGTACCGAAAAGACTTTAGAGCAGTCAGTGACACATACAAGGTGTTCAGCAAATGCCAGATGTTAGTGTTCAGTCTTTAGAAATAGTAGGCACGGGCTCTGCTGGCTCTCCTAGGGAGAGGGATATGAGAGACACAGAGAGAGTTTTGAATGTAGTTCAGAAATAATTAAATGCCTTCCTCGATTGAAATAGAAAGGCAATTAACACAAGGAAGTATTTTTCTCTGTGGTATCTAGGACATATTTTTCTCATTTTCCTTTTGTAATGGGAAAATGTGAAACTCACTCTGGTGAGGTCAATTGTTCCCCAACAAACAGGTTTCAAATAGGGAAAGTGGGTAGGACCCTAGAGAGCTTCTCATCCACAGCTGGGTAGCAATGATGCCTAGGGCTCAGGCAAGCTCTTTTACCCCTCTGGGTTTCAGGCTCCCTGAGCATAAATTTGGGATAAACTATACCCGTCTACAGCGGTGGTTTCAGGTTGGTGGGAGACAGGCCGAGTGTGACTATGGTAGCTCAGCCAGTTCCAGAGCTGACCTTACAGGGGACTTTCTGTTTCCAGAGAGCAGCTCAGCCATACAACACAGAGCCTGGAAACCATTGTGGACCTTCTGACCAAGCCCAAACAAGGGCAAGTGAACAGACCAGAAGCCTGTGGGGGAGGATTTATGCACTACATCTGGGAGTGGCTTTCACCAAGGGCTGCTGGGAAATTCTGGCTAGCTGTGGTCCAGAAGGGAAGTGTTGAGCAGTCCTCTCCTCTGTAGAAGAGTTGCTGAGATGAATGCTCAACCGTTCACTCAGTCCGAATTGCCAATGAGATCCTTGGGGTTCAGAGAAGTTATGGAGTTATTTCAAGGTCACCCCATTTCAAAACAGTGGCGAGGTCATCTCAGGATACCCATTGTCATTCTTTCTGGAGTTTTACGTGAGAGTGAGAGTTATTAGGGGTTGAACCTAAGGCCTGACTTATGCTACCACTGAGCATATCCCAGACCCCTTTTTGCTTTTCTTTCTTTCTTCTTCCTTCCTTCCTTCCTTCCTTCCTTCCTTCCTTCCTTCCTTCCTTCCTTCCTTCCTTCCTTCCTTCCTTCCTC